AAAGACAGACTGACCACCAGTACCCACCAAGAACCCTTAACCTCCGTGACAGAGAGACCTACACACAACACACACATTTATCTATGCTCTAGAGCAGAGGTTCCCAAAGTTTTTCTTATTTCGTACCCCTTTCCAGATCTACCAGCTGCCTGCATACTCCTATCAGCATACGTTTTATATTTTAACCTCTTAAATGCCACTTATTATCATGAAAATTAAATCCTCCATTACACAGTTTCTCATGTGTACCTCCCCAGAAATATCTTGTGTACCCCAGGGGCACATGTACCACAGTTTGGGAAGTCCTGTGCCAAAGATATATACCTACTTACTTATTTTGGTGCTACCTACACACATGCCCCTATCTACTTTGGTGCTATGCTATATTATCTACCTACTTTGGTGCTAGATGGGGGGTGGGGAGCGTGTGTGTGTTTCTCTCTCCATCTTGTCTGGTGCTACAGCGGTTCCCAATCTGTAGTGTGCGTACCACCAGCGGTACACAGACAACCTGTCAGTGATATGCATTAACAGATTTATTATAATTACTTTACATGACAAAAATTTGCTGGTGGTACTGAAGGTTGTATCTGTTTAAATTGGTGGTGTGCAATCTGTTAGGGTTTGGGAACCGCTGCTATAGATACATATACATCTCTCTACCATGTGTGTGTGTGTGTGTGTGTGTGTGTGTACGTATGTACGTGCGTGTGTGCGCACTCAAGAAATCATATTTCCTACCTACGGGGACTTTTTACTGTCTTATACCATCTATACTTTTCCCAGAGCCTGACAAAGAGACTGTCCGGAAAGCTTGCGGAAAAGGTCAATTTTCTTGCGATTTCCCAGTTGGTCAAATACAAGGTGTCACTTGGGAACCGAGACTTCTAGTTTGTTGTATGTGCTAGACAAACACACAACACATATGTATCTATTTTGGTGCTATGCTATACATATCTCTCTGCCTACCTCCTTTGGTGTTATATACATACACATAGTTATCTACTTCAGTGTGGTGCTTGCTTGCTTGTTTGCTCTCTCTCCACACACATACCTACTTTGGTACTACAGACAATCCCCCCATCTACTTCGGTGCTATGCTATACATACACACATACCCCCGCCCCCAGTACTCTGGTACTAGATACAGACAGGCAGGTGCTATAGATATAGCACAAAAGTGTGGGGGGGTGTATATATACCTGCCTACTTTGGTACTATGTGAAAAGCTATAGCTACGGCTACTAACACACGGGCAGAGCCGTTCA